TTTTCATTCTGCTCCTCTGTTTCACATCATCAAACAGGTATATGTCTGAATCTGTTCCATCTGGAATGCCATTCTCAAAAATCACTAACAGAATTGGTTCTATTACCGATCTTTATGGAATCCCATTCGTTACTGTTCTTCATTCTGACGTCTCTTCCCTGACATTCACTCTTTGTTCCATTCTTCTCCATTCTGACGTCTCTTCCCTGACAGTCACTCTTTGTTCCATTATACTAAGATACTCTTTGATCTACCTGATCCACCTCAAGTTTTTGGCCGAGCATCTTGTGTAATTCAATATCAAATGCTTTTTTGCTGTCTAAGAAAATGCAACTGACACACCCATCTCTCTTCTGTCTCACAAGTTATTGTCTGTAAAACCATTTATTTCTATGTATTGTCCTACTCTTCCCTTGATAAATTTCTTCATTACCTTGCAAAGAATACGTTTCAGAGAAACTGGTTTATAGCTCAGTGTCTCCTCTCTGTCTCCTTTCTTAAATAAAAAGACTTCTTTAAGTGTCTTCCAGAACTCTGGCAACTGTTCCTTACCCACTGACTTATTACAGCCGGTTCATTAACGTTTCTTTACCTAATCCACTTTTTTGGGGATTGCATCTAGTACTTGTTGTTGCGCTTGCCCCTTAGTTTTCCTAGTACACCCCTTTGTTTCCTCAAAAAACAGCTTTTCACTCGAATTTTTTTCCCCCTTCTCTATCGTCCTTCTTCTAAGGGTTTCCCCGTTAGTTCATATTTGGGCTGTTAGGCTTGTTGCCGTGAGTTCATCTTGGCCTTTACTGCTATGTTGTTCTGTTGTTCATACGGGTTGTTATGCTATGTTTTCTGGAGTTAACTTGGCCATTACTGCTATGTTTTCTGTTAGTTCATACTTGTTGTTACGTTGTGTTCTGTAGTTATACTTGGTTGTTATGCTATGTTGTTTTTATTTAAACTTGGCTGCTGCATGTTTTTTCTGGATTTCATACTTGCCGTTATGCATGTTGTTTGTTTTTTCATACTTGGTTGTTATGCTATGTTATTTGTGAGTTCATACTTCCCCAATTACGCTAGTTGTTCTTTTAGTTCATATTGGTTTTTAGTTGTTGTTCTTAAAATTCTTCTTGGTTGTTACTGCATGTTGTTTGTTATTCTCGGGCTTTTTCTGCTATGTTGTTCGTTAGTTAAACTTGGTTGTTTTGCTATGTTTTTCTGTTAGTTCATACTGGTGTTTCTGCTTTTTGTTTGTGATTCATACTTGGCGTTTTGCTATGTTGTTCTGTTATTTCATATTGGTTTTTTTTTTTTTGGGCTATGTTGTTCTGTTAGTTATACTTGGTTGTTACTCTATTTTGTTTGTGATTTTCTTATTTGGGTTGTTACTGCTATATTGTTCGTTAGTTCATATTTGGTGTTTCTGCTATGTTGTTTGTTAGTCATATTTGGGTTTGTTACTGCTATGTTTTCTGTGAGTTATTTTGGGCTGTTTCGCTAGTTGTTTGTTAGTTCAACTTTGGTTTGTTTCGCTATGTTGTTCTTTTAGTTCATATTTGGGTTTTATGTATTTTGTTCGTAGTTCATATTGGTTGTTACTGCTAATTGTTCGTTAGTTCACGGGGTTGTTTCTGTGTTGTTCTGTTAGTTCATACTTGGTTGTTTTTGCTAGTTTTGTTAGTTCATAGGGTTGTTTCTGCTATGTTGTTCTGTTAGTTCGTATTTGGGTTGTTACTGCTATGTTGTTTGTTAGTTCATACTTGGCCTTTTACAGCATGTTGTTCTGTGAGTTCATACTTGGTTGTTACTGCTATGTTGTTCGTTAGTTCATACTTGGTTATTTCTGCTATGTTTGTTCAGTTAGTTCATCCCTTGGTTGTTTCTGCTATGTTGTTCTGTTAGTTCATACTTGGTTGTTTCTGCTATGTTGTTCTGATAGTTCATACTTGGTTGTTTCTGCTATGTTTTTTCGGGATAGTTCATATTTGGTTGTTTCTGCTATGTTGTTCTGTATTTTCATATTGGTAGTTTACTGCTATGTTGTTCTTTTTAGTTCATACTTGGTTTTTTCTGCTTTGTTGTTCTGTTAGTTCATACTTGGTTGTTTCTGCTATGTTGTTCTGTTAGTTCATACTTGGTTGTTACTGCTATGTTGTTCTGTGAGTTCATACTTGGCTGTTACTGCTATGTTGTTCTGTGAGTTCATACTTGGTTGTTACTGCTATGTTGTTCTGTGAGTTCATACTTGGTTGTTACTGCTATGTTGTTCTGTGAGTTCATACTTGGTTGTTACTGCTATGTTGTTCTGTGAGTTCATACTTGGTTGTTTCTGCTATGTTGTTCTGTTAGTTCGTACTTGGTTGTTTCTGCTATGTTGTTCTGTTAGTTCATACTTGGTTGTTACTGCTATGTTGTTCTGTTAGTTCATACTTGGTTGTTACAGCTATGTTGTTCTGTTAGTTCATACTTGGTTGTTACTGCTATGTTGTTCTGTAAGTTCATACTTGGTTGTTACTGCTATGTTGTTCTGTTAGTTCATACTTGGTTGTTTCTGTTATGTTGTTCTGTTAGTTCATACTTGGTTGTTACAGCTATGTTGTTCTGTTAGTTCATACTTGGTTGTTTCTGCTATGTTGTTATGTTAGTTCATACTTGGTTGTTTCTGCTATGTTGTTTGTTAGTTCATACTTGGTTGTTTCTGCTTGTTGTTCTGTTAGTTCATACTTGGTTGTTTCTGCTATGTTGTTCTGTATTCATACTTGGTTGTTTCTGCATGTTGTTCTGTTATTTTCATACTTGGTTGTTTCTGCTATGTTGTTCTGTTAGTTCTACTTGGTTGTTACGCTAGTTGTTCTTTTTAGTTCATACTTGGTTGTTTCGCTATGTTGTTATGTTTAGTTCTTTACTTGGTTGTTTCTGCTATGTTGTTCTGTTAGTTATACTTGGTTGTTTCTGCTATGTTGTTCTGTTAGTTCATACTTGGTTGTTTCTGCTATGTTGTTCTGTTAGTTCATACTTGGTTGTTTCTGCTATGTTGTTCTGTTAGTTCATACTTGGTTGTTTCTGCTATGTTTTTTCTGTTAGTTCACCTTTGGTTGTTTCTGTTTATGTTGTTCTTTTAGTTCATACTTGGTTGTTTACTGCTATGTTGTTCTGTTAGTTCTTTACTTGGTTGTACTGCTATGTTGTTCTGTTAATTCATACTTGGTTGTTTTGCTATGTTGTTCTGTTAGTTCATACTTGGTTGTTACTGCTATGTTGTTCTGTTAGTTCATACTTGGTTGTTTCTGCTATGTTGTTCTGTTAGTTCATACTTGGTTGTTTCTGCTATGTTGTTCTGTTAGTTCATACTTGGTTGTTTCTGCTATGTTGTTCTGTTAGTTCATACTTGGTTGTTTCTGCTATGTTGTTCTGTTAGTTTCATACTTGTTTGTTTCTGCTATGTTGTTCTGTTAGTTCATACTTTTTTGTTTACTGCTATGTTGTTCTGTTAGTTCATACTTGGTTGTTACTGCTATGTTGTTCTGTTAGTTCATACTTGGTTGTTACTGCTATGTTGTTCTGTTAGTTCATACTTGGTTGTTACTGCTATGTTGTTCTGTTAGTTCATACTTGGTTGTTACTGCTATGTTGTTCTGTTAGTTCATACTTGGTTGTTTCTGCTATGTTGTTCTGTTAGTTCATACTTGGTTGTTTCTGCTATGTTGTTCTGTTAGTTCATACTTGGTTGTTTCTGCTATGTTGTTCTGTTAGTTCATACTTGGTTGTTACTGCTATGTTGTTCTGTTAGTTCATACTTGGTTGTTACTGCTATGTTGTTCTGTTAGTTCATACTTGGTTGTTTCTGCTATGTTGTTCTGTAGTTCATACTTGGTTTTTACTGCTATGTTGTTCTGTTAGTTCATACTTGGTTGTTTCTGCTATGTTGTTCTGTTAGTTCATACTTGGTTGTTTCTGCTATGTTGTTCTGTTAGTTCATACTTGGTTGTTTCTGCTATGTTGTTCTGTTAGTTCATACTTGGTTGTTACTGCTATGTTGTTCTGTTAGTTCATACTTGGTTGTTACTGCTATGTTGTTCTGTTAGTTCATACTTGGTTGTTACTGCTTTTGTGTTCGTTAGTTCATACTTGGTTGTTACTGCTTGTTGTTCTGTTAGTTCATACTTGGTTGTTACTGCTATGTTGTTCTGTTAGTTCATACTTGGTTTTTTGCTATGTTGTTCTGTTATTCATACTTGTTGTTTCTTGCTATGTTGTTCTGTTAGTTCATATTTGGGTTGTTACTGCTATGTTGTCTGTTAGTTCATACTTGGTGTTTCTGCTATGTTGTTCTGTTAGTTCATATTTGGGTTTTTGTTTCTGCTATGTTGTTCTTTTTCAGTTCATACTTGGTTGTTTCTGCTATGTTGTTTGTTAGTTCATACTTGGTTGTTTCTCCCTATGTTGTTCTGTTAGTTCATACTTGGTTGTTTCTGCTATGTTGTTCTGTTAGTTCATACTTGGTTGTTACTGCTATGTTGTTCTGTTAGTTCATACTTGGTTGTTTCTGCTATGTTTTTTCTGTTAGTTCATACTTGGTTGTTTCTGCTATGTTGTTCTCATAGGCAGAATTCCATATATGATAAAATTTCAGCGGTTTAATAATAATAATTTTTATTTTTAATACTATTATAGTTAAAATAAAAATTTAATAATAATAATAATAATAATAGTAATAATAATAATGATAATAATAATAATAATAATTTAATAATAATAATAAATAATAATAAATTAATAATTATAATAATAATAATAATAATAATAATAATAATAATAATAATAATAATAATAATAATAATAATAATAATAATAATAATAATAATAATAATAATTATATATATTGGTGGTAGGGGTTTATATCTGAAACTGTTGTTTGCTTTTGGAATTTTAATGACTGTAACAAGTAACTAGAAGAAGCTATGTAGTATGATCTACGCCATACATAATTTGTTTACCTGTGTCTCTAGGTGCACTGAGTCCCAGCTGCCTTGTCCCCGGAGCTGTGAGTCCTTCCTGTGGACGTCTTCACAGGTGGTTGTGGAGTATCTTCAACAGTTCCCACACACACACAAACAACGTTGCTCACAAAGAAGACAACGAACTCCAGCAAGATAAAGCTTAATTAAGTGAGGCATTTATCTATTACTCAGAAACCCATATTTTAACAATACATCTGAAAAACAGGCGGTCGTGTTCAATACAGATTTTTAGTCAGTACAAAACGGTATAAGATGCCGAAAATTTTGAAAAAAGATAGGTGAAATATTAGTACCTTTAAATAAACTTACATAGTGACAGACGTGAGGTTTAAAGAGTAGAGATTGAACAGTTCTGTGAGCTGCCAGGGGCTGAGGGACTGAGCTGACTTGGGCCAGTAGGCTCGTTGTAGGCCGCCTAAACTCTATTAGGTAATGGTGGTGTTCTGATGGTAAAGAATTAACTTGTCAATGACTTCTGAAATCATAAAAGTGCCAGTGTTCTGGACAACAGTGTGGTGGTTGCAGTCAAATACTTTCCAGACATCGTCTTCTGGTTAGTTCCTCTTCCCCGATGACAAGTCTGGCTTCGTTAAATTTCATACGATGGTCGTGAGTATGTCGTCAGATGACGCACAGAGCTCTACTATATGTATCCTGGAGGTTTCTCGGAATTTTCCCCAAGTTAATGGATGACACTCAAAGATAAAATTCTCCACAACCACCACATGGGATCACGTTCACACTTCCTTCAAAACCGGTTGGTCTAAATGTTTTCTCCTGTACTAAGTCTTGTATCTTGTGGATGTCATCGTGGTTACCTTAATGTTGCTCCTAGCAAGTGTGCTGGTGATGCTGGTAGGTATCTTACCATCTGCTAGAACAAACAATCTGCCAGACCAGCGTTCCTGCCTAGCTGAGTGAATATTTCCAGTGTTTTCCTTCTGCAATCATTAATAAAGTGATAAGGATATTGGAACTGTGTGAATGTCTGATGAATGTAAGAACATTCATCTTCGAGAACAACAGAGCTGGAAACCTTCACTATGAGATAGAACCATATGATCACTCCTCTCTTCCACCTGTTTTCAGCTGAGAAAAATAATGCACCAAGTCGTCTTTACTAGTTGGTTTTCTTTAGGGTTTACAGGAAATCAACTAATAAAGACGACTGACTGCATTATTTTCCACACCACAACGCCAGAACAGAGGAATGGTCTTCAGTTTTCACCTCAGAACATACAAGATTTCAAGCTCAATTTTTCTCAAAGAAGTATGTACTGACATTCATCAAATATTCACACATATCCAATTTTCATCTAAATTTATTAATGATCGCAGAAGGAAAGCATTGGAAATATTCACTCAGCTAGGCAGGAACGTTCGTCTGGTAGAATGTTTGTTCTACCAGTTGGTGAGGTAGCTACTAGCGTTCCCAGTATACATAATAATAATATCTTTGTTTCTACACGTACATGTACAAGGTATACAGTCCTAGCTGACATCAATGACGTACTACTAAACAGAAAGCCGCTTGTTATGCAGAGCATTCCGGGCAAATTAAGTCAATGTTGTCCCAGGATGCGACCCACACCAGTCGACAAACTTCCAGGTACCCATTATACTGATGGGTGAAGATAAACATTCGGTATAAATAAACACGCCCAATGTTTCTACCCTCGGTGGTAATCGAACACAGACCCTCGCCGTGTGAAACAAGAGTTTTACCCACCAGGCCGCGGGGTACCTGTTGCTATGAGCAACATTAAAGGAGCCACGATGACATCCACAACGATAAAACACTTAGACAAAGATAAAATATTTATAATAATAATATACAATAATAAGAATCTTTATATCTCAAGTACATAATACAAATTATACATATCTATCATAGTTGACATCAGTGACATACTGTACAGTAAACCCCTGGTTATACAGACCATAGCTGACATCAGTGACATACTGTACAGTAAACCCCTGGTTATACAGACCATAGCTGACATCAGTGACATACTGTACAGTAAACCCCTGGTTATACAGATCATAGCTGACATCAGTGACATACTGTACAGTAAAACCCCTGGTTATACAGATCATAGCTGACATCAGTGACATACTGTACAGTAAACCCCTGGTTATACAGATCATAGCTGACATCAGTGACATACTGTACAGTAAACCCCTGGTTATACAGATCATAGCCGACATCAGTGACATACTGTACAGTAAACCCCTGGTTATACAGATCATAGCTGACATCAGTGACATACTGTACAGTAAACCCCTGGTTATACAGACCATAGCTGACATCAGTGACATACTGTACAGTAAACCCTGGTTATACAGATCATAGCTGACATCAGTGACATACTGTACAGTAAACCCCTGGTTATACAGATCATAGCTGACATCAGTGACATACTGTACAGTAAACCCCTGGTTATACAGATCATAGCTGACATCAGTGACATACTGTACAGTAAACCCCTGGTTATACAGATCATAGCTGACATCAGTGACATACTGTACAGTAAACCCCTGGTTATACAGACCATAGCTGACATCAGTGACATACTGTACAGTAAACCCTGGTTATACAGACCATAGCTGACATCAGTGACATACTGTACAGTAAACCCCTGGTTATACAGATCATAGCTGACATCAGTGACATACTGTACAGTAAACCCCTGGTTATACAGATCATAGCTGACATCAGTGACATACTGTACAGTAAACCCCTGGTTATACAGATCATAGCTGACATCAGTGACATACTGTACAGTAAACCCCTGGTTATACAGATCATAGCTGACATCAGTGACATACTGTACAGTAAACCCCTGGTTATACAGATCATAGCCGACATCAGTGACATACTGTACAGTAAACCCCTGGTTATACAGATCATAGCTGACATCAGTGACATACTGTACAGTAAACCCCTGGTTATACAGACCATAGCTGACATCAGTGACATACTGTACAGTAAACCCCTGGTTATACAGATCATAGCTGACATCAGTGACATACTGTACAGTAAACCCTGGTTATACAGATCATAGCTGACATCAGGACATACTGTACAGTAAACCCCTGGTTATACAGATCATAGCTGACATCAGTGACATACTGTACAGTAAAACCCCTGGTTTATACAGATCATAGCTGACATCAGTGACATACTGTACAGTAAACCCCTGGTTATACAGACCATAGCTGACATCAGTGACATACTGTACAGTAAAACCCCTGGTTATAACAGACCATAGCTGACATCAGTGACATACTGTACAGTAAACCCCTGGTTATACAGATCATAGCTGACATCAGTGACATACTGTACAGTAAACCCCTGGTTATACAGATCATAGCTGACATCAGTGACATACTGTACAGTAAACCCTGGTTATACAGATCATAGCTGACATCAGTGACATACTGTACAGTAAACCCCTGGTTATACAGATCATAGCTGACATCAGTGACATACTGTACAGTAAACCCCTGGTTATACAGATCATAGCTGACATCAGTGACATACTGTACAGTAAAACCCCTGGTTATACAGACCATAGCTGACATCAGTGACATACTGTACAGTAAACCCCTGGTTATACAGATCATAGCTGACATCAGTGACATACTGTACAGTAAACCCCTGGTTATACAGATCATAGCTGACATCAGTGACATACTGTACAGTAAACCCCTGGTTATACAGACCATAGCTGACATCAGTGACATACTGTACAGTAAACCCCTGGTTATACAGATCATAGCTGACATCAGTGACATACTGTACAGTAAACCCCTGGTTATACAGACCATAGCTGACATCAGTGACATACTGTACAGTAAACCCCTGGTTATACAGATCATAGCTGACATCAGTGACATACTGTACAGTAAACCCCTGGTTATACAGACCATAGCTGACATCAGTGACATACTGTACAGTAAACCCCTGGTTATACAGATCATAGCTGACATCAGTGACATACTGTACAGTAAACCCCTGGTTATACAGACCATAGCTGACATCAGTGACATACTGTACAGTAAACCCCTGGTTATACAGACCATAGCTGACATCAGTGACATACTGTACAGTGAACCCCTGGTTATACAGACCATAGCTGACATCAGTGACATACTGTACAGTAAACCCCTGGTTATACAGACCATAGCTGACATCAGTGACATACTGTACAGTAAACCCCTGGTTATACAGATCATAGCTGACATCAGTGACATACTGTACAGTAAACCCCTGGTTATACAGATCATAGCTGACATCAGTGACATACTGTACAGTAAACCCCTGGTTATACAGATCATAGCTGACATCAGTGACATACTGTACAGTAAACCCCTGGTTATACAGATCATAGCTGACATCAGTGACATACTGTACAGTAAACCCCTGGTTATACAGATCATAGCTGACATCAGTGACATACTGTACAGTAAACCCCTGGTTATACAGATCATAGCTGACATCAGTGACATACTGTACAGTAAACCCCTGGTTATACAGACCATAGCTGACATCAGTGACATACTGTACAGTAAACCCCTGGTTATACAGATCATAGCTGACATCAGTGACATACTGTACAGTAAACCCCTGGTTATACAGACCATAGCTGACATCAGTGACATACTGTACAGTAAACCCCTGGTTATACAGACCATAGCTGACATCAGTGACATACTGTACAGTAAACCCTGGTTATACAGACCATAGCTGACATCAGTGACATACTGTACAGTAAACCCCTGGTTATACAGATCATAGCTGACATCAGTGACATACTGTACAGTAAACCCCTGGTTATACAGACCATAGCTGACATCAGTGACATACTGTACAGTAAACCCCTGGTTATACAGACATAGCTGACATCAGTGACATACTGTACAGTAAACCCCTGGTTATACAGACCATAGCTGACATCAGTGACATACTGTACAGTAAACCCCTGGTTATACAGACCATAGCTGACATCAGTGACATACTGTACAGTAAACCCCTGGTTATACAGACCATAGCTGACATCAGTGACATACTGTACAGTAAACCCCTGGTTATACAGACCATAGCTGACATCAGTGACATACTGTACAGTAAAAACCCTGGTTATACAGACCATAGCTGACATCAGTGACATACTGTACAGTAAACCCCTGGTTATACAGATCATAGCTGACATCAGTGACATACTGTACAGTAAACCCCTGGTTATACAGATCATAGCTGACATCAGTGACATACTGTACAGTAAACCCCTGGTTATACAGATCATAGCTGACATCAGTGACATACTGTACAGTAAACCCCTGGTTATACAGATCATAGCTGACATCAGTGACATACTGTACAGTAAAACCCTGGTTTATACAGATCATAGCTGACATCAGTGACATACTGTACAGTAAACCCCTGGTTATACAGATCATAGCTGACATCAGTGACATACTGTACAGTAAACCCCTGGTTATACAGATCATAGCTGACATCAGTGACATACTGTACAGTAAACCCCTGGTTTATACAGATCATAGCTGACATCAGTGACATACTGTACAGTAAACCCCTGGTTATACAGACCATAGCTGACATCAGTGACATACTGTACAGTAAACCCCTGGTTATCAGATCATAGCTGACATCATGACATACTGTACAGTAAACCCCTGGTTATACAGATCATAGCTGACATCAGTGACATACTGTACAGTAAACCCCTGGTTATACAGATCATAGCTGACATCAGTGACATACGTACAGTAAACCCCTGGTTATACAGATCATAGCTGACATCAGTGACATACTGTACAGTAAACCCCTGGTTATACAGATCATAGCTGACATCAGTGACATACTGTACAGTAAACCCCTGGTTATACAGATCATAGCTGACATCAGTGACATACTGTACAGTAAACCCCTGGTTATACAGATCATAGCTGACATCAGTGACATACTGTACAGTAAACCCCTGGTTATACAGATCATAGCTGACATCAGTGACATACTGTACAGTAAACCCCTGGTTATACAGACCATAGCTGACATCAGTGACATACTGTACAGTAAACCCCTGGTTATACAGATCATAGCTGACATCAGTGACATACTGTACAGTAAACCCCTGGTTATACAGATCATAGCTGACATCAGTGACATACTGTACAGTAAACCCCTGGTTATACAGATCATAGCTGACATCAGTGACATACTGTACAGTAAACCCCTGGTTATACAGATCATAGCTGACATCAGTGACATACTGTACAGTAAACCCCTGGTTATACAGATCATAGCTGACACAGTGACATACTGTACAGTAAACCCTGGTTTATACAGATCATAGCTGACATCAGTGACATACTGTACAGTAAACCCCTGGTTATACAGATCATAGCTGACATCAGTGACATACTGTACAGTAAACCCCTGGTTATACAGATCATAGCTGACATCAGTGACATACTGTACAGTAAACCCCTGGTTATACAGACCATAGCTGACATCAGTGACATACTGTACAATAAACCCCTGGTTATACAAAGCATTTGGTTAATTTTGTTACTAGGATGCTACTCTTACCAGTAGGCTAACACCCAGGTACCTATTTACTGCTAGGTGAACAGGGACAGCAGTTGTCTTAAGGACACACGCCCTTATGTTTCCAACCTTACGGGGGATCGAACCTTGTGTGAGCTGAGTGCGGTAGCAACCAGGTAATGCAGCAAAAGACTGTGTAAGTAAGTTTATGCAGGTATACACAAATACAGTTACATAGATTATCATACATAGCAGCATATGTGTAAAGTACCTG